AAAAGTAAAAATAGTATTAAGAAAAATATTTATTTTAAACACAAAAGGAAAAATTTTATCGTATATATATGTAGTAATATTGTTAATATATTTTGACATTTTTATGGAAAATTTATGAACTTCAACTTAAATAACTTTTATTATAAACATACATTCATACCACAACTGTATTAATGTAGTGAGTATTTCAGTGCAAGCGAAATATATCGCAAATTGCTGCATATTGTCACCAACTTTATTATTATTTATTTTTATATGTGGATGGCCAGCAAACTTGTTTTTACTTTTTATATACATATAATTCACATGGTAACATAGAACATTTAAATCATTTTAAAATATATTCTTATTTTTTTTTAAGATAACAATTAACACTTTTGGAACAATTAAAAAATTAAAGATAAAAGATTTATATATATATATGTATATATATTATATTTTTTTAAATATGATATATAGAAAAATTCAATAAAAAACATTTTTAATTTACCTCGTACATATGTGTATATTTTGTATGGAACAATTAAAAATTTAAGAAAAACATAATTTATATTTTTTTGAAAATGTGAATTAGAAAAAAAGTTTAATAATCATCTTTTTTTTTGTATTTCATTTAAAATTACTTATATCCATAACTCAAAGGTAGTTCGTCATTTTAAATTAAAAAACAGCGTTTATTTAGCCAACACAATATTACACTTCAACACTTTTGCATTGTAAAATGGGAAATAAATCTCATGCATGCAAGAATTATCCAGAGTAAATGAGAAATTAGCAACAAAAATTGCACTGCTCTTAGAGAGTATATACCAGAGTTCGCAAATATTCGTTTTTTATAGCTTAAACAAAAAATAACGAATAAAATATGCTACAACGAACGTGTCTAGTACATGATATATATATTTTTTCATTTGTTTATATATTTATGTATTTATAACTCCAAAGTACCGAATTACAGTAGTAATACTTTTCATTTCAATTTTTTTTGTTTGATTTTCCAAACTTTAACCAAAACACTTTTTTTTAACTTTCTTCTTTCTTTTCTTACTAATTACTACTTTTTGTGTCCCTTATCGGCTTACGCCTACATTTCAAAGCCTAACACTCGTTACACGTTTCCTGTAAAAACAAGGTTGGAAATATAGAAGACAATATTTTACCATTATTTTTAATAGGAATTGTAAATAGAAATGCAATAAACTTTTTTTAATGCAAACAACGAAACGGTGAACTAAAAAGGAAATAACTCAAATAAGCGTTAATTTTTGAAAGAAATATAAACAATTTTTTTAAAATATATGCGAGTTTATTATATAGAATGCAAATAGCGCTATGTAGTACAAACGATAATTGAAGATTACGTAAAGTTTATGGAAATAATGACTAAATGTTTATAGCAAATACTATGTTAATCGATCATACTTATTTTTTTGGATTTTTTTTTTTATTAAATATAAAATATAAACGTTGTTTCAAAAGAAAACAATAACAAAAACCAAAGTATTATAACACAATTATATAAGATTATAAGATTTTAAACTATTATATATCATTGCATAATTGAAAATAATTTACAACGCTTAGCGCGTACACAAAGCACTCAAAGTGTAATCACTTGTACAGTATTCATGATACAAAAACAAAAATTATGCTCAACCATGTACACGCTAAATAAGAGAACAGCAAAAAAAAAAAAAACGTATCATGAAATGACGAGCATTCGAAAAGAAAACCAAAAGAACTTCTTTCAAGATATCACTTACATAGATACAAAATAGAAAAAGTCTATAAAATTAAGCCTAAGCATTAATTGACCCGTTGTGGCGTTATAATTTTGTTTACAATGCGAAAATATTTGGAATGTACGAGTCATTTTACAATGAAAATAATAATATAACTGATTAATGTGAATAAACAACAGTCTGACACATAGACTGCTAAGCAATTGTACTTAATTAATGCCAACATAGGCAGATAAGAGCGGAAAAGTAGTAGCAATGTGTTTTTGCTTTTACTACATTTTCGTCTTAACTTTGTACAAATGCTATGTAGAAGAGAGCGATAAAGAGAAACAATAAATAACTTATGCTACTTTGAGAGTATTCAACTTAATATTTTAAATTAATTAATTAAACCCATAATAAATAAATAAATATATAATTTTACATGAGTGTGGCAAATTAACTAAAAAGGCTGCATTATTTAACATTCTTCGCCTTCTTACCGGAGGTTACAAATGGCCCAACATAATTGCTAGGAAATAGACCCGATAAGCCATTTAGTTCGCCACGCCACCATTCCGGTTCATCGCGCCCCAAGACGCTGATAATATCGTCCTTCTCGAACGAAAGTTCATCGTCGTTTTGTGCCTTGTATGGGTACAATGCAATGACTTTGTCTGTAATTAAGTATAGATATGTATATATTAAAAATCAATACATATAATATATTATAGTATTTATATATACATTAGTTTCCCGTTATTTCACAAGTTGTTTCTTTAGCAGATGGGCTGAAGAATTCGTAACCTAACAGGATTTTATTTTAATAATATTATATTTTTTTATGTATTATCTTCGCGGAGGGTGGAGACATGTGTAGGAGTTCACGAAGTGAGGAGGGAGAAACGATTCTTTTACATATGGCTCAATCAGCTCACAGCTACAGGGTAGCCGAAAAAACTCCGTTTGAAGGCGAGTTAATGGCGGATCGGTGCACCATTCCTCCGCTGGGTTTGTGGCCTGCCACGTAAAAAGACACCCCCAATGAGACGAACACAACAGCCTTAAACTCGGCTAAAACCGCGTAAGCGGTGTCTACGCCAATAAAGAAGAAGAAGATTTTGTCTTTGAGAGCGAAACAACGATTATAGCGGTAAATTGTTAATACCATTTATATAATATTTTTGCCTCTCCAAATAAGAGTCAGTTTCTGCGATTACCTGTTCATTTTAGCTAAATTTCTATCTTATCAGATCTGGCGAGTACGGTGGATACGGAAGAAATTTGAGGCCAAATTCATGAAATTTTGATGTGTGTGTTTTGTCTTGACGAAACAGCTTCTTCATCTTCAAATGGGACCGTTTTTTTCGTGCTTACCAATAAAGTAATGTAATATTAGTTATTGTAGCGGCAGAGTTCAGCCGAATTAACAGTCCTTGACGTAATAAAAATCCGGGTCCGTTCCGGTTACGTAGACCCGACTGTCGTGGAAACGGGCAAATGGGGAAATGTAATAGTCGCTGATAATGGGTTTTCCCCTTTAAAAATAGTCGATGAATATTATACCATGAACAGCTCAGAACACTGATGCCTTAACCTGTCGGTCAACTTTTAGGTCTTTCCACGCTTTTGGGTCGGTTCATCAAATGCTATCCACCTGGCTGACTGTCAATCAGACTCTGGTGTTAAATAAGGGAATCATGTTTCATCCGACACAATACGCATATCGACGCAAAAATTCGGTTTTATTACAAGCAAAGAGCTTCAAACACGCCTCGGGATCAGCAGTTCTTTGCACAGAGTTTCTCATACCCAAATAATCATTACCAACATATCCAATACGTGACTTTGATACATTTAGAATCTCAGTTTTCTTGAACAACTTCACTTTGTAGGCATCCGAAATTATTTTGAGGACTTTTTTGATGTTTTCGTCAGTAACAGCGCCTTTAGGGCATCCATTGCTTTCATCGTCTTCGGTACTAATTTCGCCTGGTTCAAACTTAGCAAATCACTTTTCAACGTTTGAATTCCCTGATGCAGAGTCCAGCTAATGTTGATCAATCCAAATCTTGGCTTCAACAGTATTTTTCCCCCCAAAAAGCAAAGCTTTATTAACACACGAAACTCCTTTTGATCCATGTTTTGTAAACTAAAACAAGTTGCTTCACTCAAAATTTTATATCTTATACTGTCCAATTTTTACATGTATCTTTTAAAGACAAGGGCTGACTAAAAATCATATGGATTTAATATTAGTAGTACCATCTAAGTATCAGCCAACGAACTTCTCTGCCTCCCATCAAGTTTCCGTTTGCCTTTTAAAAACATTTTTACAAGGAATTTTTTGACCTTTTGCAATAAAAACGAGTATTGGCAGAGTACTCCATGGCGTATGAGCAACATAAAATGTATAAATCACATGTGTATGTTCCGTACATTTGACGTGTAACTTTGACCGCGTATAACTCTCAAAGGAATATTTTTATGGAAAAAGTCAAAAATATCTTGTTTGTAGAGCGCATAATTTTGTTAAGAATATCACTTTTTTAAGTTAGTCAGGGTATAAATGGAACTTTATTATTGTATTTTACTTTGTCTCGTTTGTTTAGAACAAAAACTGAAACTTTAGGAAACGTTTTCAAAAAAACCAAAAAATGAAAACAAAAACTTGGGAAAAACGGACACCTCTATATGCATGTACTCACCTAGAATTTGCTCTGTCATCTCGATACGACTACCTGAAACCGGCGTATTGCGACCACTATTACGTCCACCTTGCAAAACTTTCACATACGTGGCCGGGAACCAGCCGATTTGGCGACGTCGACCTTTCGCCTGCAGTTCGCCCTCCCACCAACCAGAATCGGTCTTCTTACGTATCATAATTAATTGTCCACGGGTCAACGAAAGTTGTTCAGGACTGGTAGCCTCGTATGGTGCAATAACTTGTGCAATTTCAGAGCGTTTTGCGCGCATACCCTATTGGCGAAAACATGTGTTCATTATTAGCAATTTGCAGTTAATATAAAATAAAGATTAACAAATGTTGTAGTTAAAATTGTTAATTTTAGTACAATACTAATATAAACAACTTCACAAGAATACAACCTGATGATGTAACTACAAATGTAGGTTTATAAAATAAAGGATAAAGGATGTTAACAAATTATTTACAGGCGTCATGGAAGAGGTGCGTGACATTGGGCGACTAAACGATTCCGCTGTTTCATTCTGACTCTTTGATTGTGTATTGATCTGTGAGACTTCTGTGTCCAAGTCTTCATTTGTACGCGTCTCTTCGGCAGCTGCAGCCGCTGCTGAATGGTCAATTACGTTATCTGCACTAATGCCGCTATTAAATTTCTGTTGTTGTTGTGTTGCTGTTGCAGTTGTTATTGCTGTTGTAGTGGTATCATTGCTTGGAAATTGATCATGTGGTGTCGTGGCTGCTGCTATGGCGACGCTAGCGTTCGTATCGGCGTTGCCATTTTCCTGTGAAATGTTACAAAAGGCGGCAATGGAGCAGCATTTGAAGGAAATGTGGAAAAGCAATTTGTATAAATATTGTTAGTAGTATTACAAAAACAATGCATGTATGTAGAAAATGCAAATATAAACGCAATTTGTGAAAATGTTGTATGAGTGGATGTTTGGAGCCACAGGAAACTAGTATACGTGTCACAAACCGTTTCAACTCTAATGACAGCTACTAGTCCTTTTCAACGAAAACATAACAAAAGGAAATAATAATAACTACTACTTACCTTTTGGTCGTCAAAGGCACCGGCTATGTCCAGCGCTGTATCTATCGACGCCGTGCCAACGTCCGCTTTTTGCACATAGTTTGACGGGAACATGCCAGTACGTGTGCCAATTGTGCCTGTCCACCAATCGCCCTCTTTCTTAATAACCATTACCATTTCACCGGCATTAAAACTCAAATCGCCCACTTCAGTGGACGCATATGGATATGCCGCAATGTAATATTCCACCTCACCGTTGTGTGCATCTGCGCCCAGACTGAAAAAAAAAAAAAATTAAAAACATATTA